TCCTAAAAGTGCGCAATATCTAGAGAATTTTCGTTAAAACCCCATTTTCATAGCTCAATTTTAATGCCACTAACGGAATTTGCCTGTTTTCAACTTGGCAACGCTGTAGCGCGCGGGAAAAATTTCGAGTGAACTTGCCAATGTCGAAAAAAGGCGTGTCTTGTGATAGGGAACAACATATCCAACTCCGGGCGAAATCCAAGCGTAGGGCAAAATCGCCGATTTTGAATAACCAACCCTCTTTACGCAAAATTTCATGAAGAATAAAAAAAAATGTCTTTGAAAGCTCAATTTTGAACCGAATTAGAGATCCCCAAAAAGGGGGGATTACCGTACTTAAGCTCCCCGCACGTAACGCTATCTTTTATCCAAATGAATGGAATATCCCCTGGAAAAGTTGCAATCCAGGGTAATTTTACACGGGAAACACAAATTTTTAGGTCCTAGCGCTCTTAAAAGGCTCCCCGGGGCCACGCAGGGAGGGGACTCGGGCCACATTTATCCTCTTTGCGCCAAACACCACTTTTCTTAAAAATTATTGGAAAACATCTGGAAAAATTTCAAACCATGAAAAACACAAATTTCTAGATTTGAGTGTCCTACAAAAGCTCCTTAGGGCTATGCGGGGAGGGGGCGCAGGCCTCGTCTGTCCCCTTCGCATCAAATCCTAGTTCTCTTCGAAATTATGGGAAAACGTCCGGAAAAATTGAGTCAGTGAGTTCGAAAATACACCAATTCGGAAAAAAAAATGGTTCAGGAAACACCTAAAACTGCGCAGCGGGCGAAGAAGTTAGTTTAAGAAAAACCTTTTTGGTGCCAAAGGACAAGTACTTAGGGACTTTGTAAATCACCAAGCTGAAATCGATACACCATCTTTGATGACAGAGAATTAAGCGTTTAAAAATTTCCGAGTTGGTGTGTTTTCGTTCTCACCGACTTTCAGATACTGATTTTAGTCTGCCCAGAGAAATTTATATTTTTCGACCTGAATAACGCTTGAATATTTATGTAACTTGTTGGTACAAGGTATACTGAACCGGAAAAAGAAAACCGCAAGATCAGATGGTCACCCGTTTCCCTTGAAATTGCCAAAAATTGGTATTTCTAATGAAATACTTTGATTTATCCCTTTTCCCGTCGCTGTCTCGAGCACTTCCGATTGCAATTTCGATATTTCCTTTTGCGTGCAGCTGCGTCTATCCATAAGTGTTACTAAACCGTAAAAAAGTGAAAATCGAAAAAAAACCCGAGTTGGTGTGTTTTCAAACTCACTGATTCAATTGTATCTCTGGGTAACTTCCCATGAAAATCACACATTTCTGGGTTTTAGAGTCCCACAACAGCTCCTAAGGGCCACGCGGGGAGGGGGTGTAGGCCCCGTTTGTCGAGTTCGCGGAAAACGCCAGTTTTCTTCACGATCATCGGAAAACACTCGAAAAAATTGAACATTCGGGGTAAATTAATGTGAGAGACACGAATTCGGACGTTTCAAAGTTCCCCATGTCCCATTCGAGGTCAAACAAGGAGGGAGTCGTGCCCTGTTGGTCTGTTTAGCGCAGAATACTACTGTCCTTCAAAATTATCGAAAACTTTATAATCGAATATAATTTTTCATGTGAAACAGGAATTCGAATGTTTCAAAGTGTTCAATGAGCTCCTTGCAGGGAGAATGTATGGATCTTGTTAACCCCTCTCCACACGGAATTCCAACGTTTTTCAAGAGCATCGGATAATCTCCGAGAAACTAAATTTTACCCTCGCTTTTTTCGCACGAGGAACCTACATTTTCACCTGTTGACATCTCTCAGTTATTCTAATTTTTCGTTCAACTAATCAGTTGGGGTATTAAGGATATCCAAAAGTTTTTGACCCCTGGGCTGCCATTTTGAGGGGACCCTTGAGCCCCCCCCCCCCCCCCCCGGCGGCCATTTTGAGGGACACCCTGAGCCTCCATGACGGGTATAGAACAATTTCTGACCTCATATTCGTTATTTCCGACCCAGAAAACCTATTGACGGATATGTCATACAATATATAGAGCCATCCATGTCCTTTTTTCCACCGGAGGGCCCATTTGGGTCGCCATCTTAGAATTTGGGCCCCATCTTAGGTCGGAGGATTTTTTAGATGTGAAATTTGCGACTAAAATTACATTAAAAAGACACTCCAGTCGGCTTTTCAAGAAAACGTAAAATTCGTTGACCCCCCCCCCCCCCGGCGCCCTTAAGGCCGCCATCTTGAATGGGGGGCGCCGGGTTGATTTCTTAACTGAACAAAATCCAAAATCTGATTCTATGTATCAAGACGAAAAGATTGTTGTACAGAACACAGTTGTTCTACAACACTCCAGGCAAATTATCTTTTTTGTACATTTGCAACTGCACTATAAGGTAAAAGGCCAATGCGGGTAATAGTCTAACCTTGAAAAGAGCCGTATGCAAAAACGACTTTTTTCGCCCCCCACTAAAACTTATTCAAACTTCGTCTATCAGTTACTCATACTGGAGCGCTTCTTTCCCCAAATTTTCAGACCCCCAACAAATTTTTTTTTTGGGGGGGGGCGCTAGGGGGGGGATGAAAGTCAAAACCTGTGAACCTTGATATCTTTCGAACGAAAAAAGATATTGAGGCCCGGTTTGGACGAAAAATCGTCTAAAATTGCATACTTTAAGATTCTTAGCGTCAAAATCCCAAAATTTCATTTTTAAGTTAACTTATGTGCCTTTTTCAGTTTTTGAGGAAAAACAATTTCTTTTAAACACATTAAACTGAAAGATCACATTTTTGTATTTGAACCAGAACCAGTTTTTAAATTGTTCGTCTTTTTCCGCATCCAACGAGTGGTCATTTAAGCTGGGGAACCAAACGGTTCCAGAGTTATGAACGATTGAAAAATACATTTTTAGGTATTCTTAAGGGTCGCTGAGTTCAAAAATTACAGATACTCTCAAAAATTCACTTTTTTCCTGTAACGCTACTAGAGAGGCCCACTGCGGTGGGCCGCCAACCGGGCCTCAATATCTTTTTTCGTTCGAAAGATATTAAGGTTCACAGGTTTTGACTTCCACCCCCCCCCCCTAGCGCCCCCCAAAAATTTGTTGGGAGTCTGAAAATTTTGGAGGAAGAAGCGCTCCAGTATGAGTAACTGATAGACGAAGTTTGAATAAGTTTTAGTGGGGGGGGGCGAAAAAAGTCGTTTTTGCATACGGCTCTTTAGGATCCTCTGAAAATCGGTCCTACAGACGACAAGTTTAGACGTCTTGCTAAATGTATTGGGCAAGGCGAAGACGCAACCCCGCACAAGACACTCCAGATAATCTGATTTACGAGCAGTTATAACAACATTTTCAAGATCTATCATCACAGTTTCGGGATTCAAAACCGATTTTAAGCCAAGAAGTGTGCAAAGTATTACGATGTAAGTGAGCTCTTTTTTGGATTGGAAGCCTGCATTCGCACGACAAGATTAAACACATTTTCTTGGTTTTTCGTATGCAGCATTTTAGGTATTGAGTCTATGACTCCACGCGCTCCTAAAAATGATTATTTTAGACTGCAGGCCTTTTGTAACTGTATAAAGAGCGAAACAACTGTTGCCATAAGGGACTAAATATATATCTCTTTTAAGAAACTTGCCAGGGTAAAAACTTTATTTGAAAAAAACACTGAATGCAATAACACACGCAAAAACTTCATGTTATAGTATATAAATTAACCGTATGATACGAAATATCCCCACCTATACCACTTCTAACGCACCTCAGCATCTCAGAAGAATGGGAAATAAAACATAAGTTGACAAAGTTCTCGACGAAGTTTAATCACAATCAAATGCAAGGACAAGGACCAACTGAGGGACACGAATCATTAGCTGAATGGAGCTGTTTGTTACATGGCACGAGGCAATCATCAGATGCAACATCTCCTCGTCTTGTGATCTGGGTATCAGCCTGAGGTATCTAACAGGGGCTATCCCTCATTGCCGTCATCCATTTTAATTGGTGGTATTTTCGACTGTGATAGTTTTCATTTTGATATTTTGGCATTGCAATTTTTCGTACCTGCAATATTGTGTCCCGTGGTAAATTAGGTGCGAAATTTTTTCGGCGATGTTTTGCCCAAAGACTGCACAATGAATGGTAGACAAGTAGTATATTGATGATATAACTACAAAAACAAACAACTCAATCGTAGTATTTTAATATCTCTGATCTCATCTTATTACTTATAAAAGAGCATCTCTAGAAGTTATTGTATATAATTTTAAAAAAATATAACTAAGTTAGAATTAGAATTAGAAAAGCCTAATACACCCCTTAGGGGCTTGGTCTCTCCCTTGCGGGAGGTTAAAGAGAAAATTGGAGTTGTAGAGGTTTGATTAAAATGTTGACATCTTCTCAATTGCACTTGTCTCCAAGTTGTGCCAACGTTCCCGATCCTTCCCTAGGCTCTACCAGTCTTTTCTTGCATGGGTCACCAGTTCATCGCTCCATCTTATCAGCTGTCTGCCCTTGTTCCTTTTGCCGTCCGGTTTCCACTTTGTTAATCTACTGGCCCTCCTGGTCTCCTTCATCCTGGCCACATGTCCTGTCCAACTCCATTTTAATTTTGCTGCCCTTTCTGATGCCTTAATGGTAGTTCCTGTACTGTTCCTGATGATAGCATCACTAATCTTCTGCCCTCTTTTGATACTGCAGGCTCATAATTAAATGTACAAAGGAAGATAAACTGAAATAGCAGCATTAATGATAAGTCATCCTTTGACATACATGAAACACAACACAAAAACACAACACAACACAAAAACACAACAACACAAACACACAGCATGAACACAACACACACACAACACAACACACACACAACACAACATGAAACACAAGCAGGAAATCTGTAATGTCTTTAACGAAGTTACGAGGTTTCATGATGTCATGCAATATTTAAATTGATTTGTAACCCGTGATCATTTTGTTCTCTGTTTTATTTGTTGTTTTCTTTAGATGACAACACTATTATTTTTACTGACATCATTTACGGGTCATGGATTCTGGAAAATAACAATTTTCAATGTTCTTACACTTGGCAAAGTCATGGAAGTCATCTTCTACCTCACAACTTTACTTTTCAACATCCCTGTCACTTTATACAATGTTTATGTGTGAGTTTTACAAGTTTTACTCTTTAAAGTATGCCTTAGAACCATTGTTGAATGTGTTTAGTAAAAGTAAGGTATTCCGGAGTCCTCGTTGTAACTGTTGTTTTGCACCATGGTCAGGTTGATCTAAGGGGGGACCCATGCATTATTTTTTCTTTAAAAAAAATTGAAAGAAGGCATTTTATTAAAGCAGCATGACAGCGAATCTTCATATAAAATTTGATTAATAAAATTCATAGGGTTTTAGAACAGCTTGGTGCCAAACTAGCTTTACACCGTGCCCTCGGATTTCTCATTAACTTTGTCTATCCTTACTGTAATGGATATGTTGCTTGTGTGAGGAATTTGCGATTTGACTGTTGATTCTTATGTAAAAGTTAGCGAGAAACACGATGGTGCCACTGGTTTTATCTGAAATCAACTCTCAAGCTCAAAAAAAGCTCTCAAGTTGAGGCCAAAATGAAGGGGATATCCCATGCTATCCTAAGAGTCCACCTCTATATCAAGACAAACGCTCCATGCAAAGATAGGGAGCAAATACATTGACAGGGTTGCCATGATTTCAGCTTAAGAGTCCCCAAATAAGGTGGCAGCCCTGTCAATTTATTTCCTCCCTATCTTTGCATGGAGAGTTTGTCTGGATGTAGAGGTGGACTCCGAGGATAGCGTGGGATATCCCCTTCATTTGGGCCTCAACTTGAGAGCTTTTTTTGAGCTTTGGAATTGATTTCAGAGAAAACCAGTGGCACCATCGTGTTTCTTCCAAATTTTTACATGAGAATCAATTGTCAAATCGCAAATCCCTCTCACATGCAACATCTCCATTCTGTGGGTCAAAATACTGGGTTATACTAAGTTTCATGAAAATAAATCGGTAAACGGGTATTTTGCAAATTATAGCCGCCTACTTGAGTTTTTGTTCAGACTAAAATTAACATTAAATTCGAATTTCCCAGGTCAAAATACTGGGGTAATCTGAGTTTCATGAAAATCTGCTTAAACGTCTAAATTAACACCTTAAATTCTGGAAAAACATATTTTCGTAGAATTAAGGGGCTTGGAGGACAAGGGGCCTAAGTGCAGTTTTTGCTATTTCGAGAAATATGTTTCTGAAGTTTCGAAATTACATGGATTCTTGTGGGTGAAAGAAAGTTTTAACTAACTTTTTGAAGTTTTTGATGCTTAAAAATTTGAATTTTTGAGCTAATTTTTCTCGAAATATGCACTAAAACTGTTACTTGTGTCTCAATTTTTTCAAAAACTACACCTACGCGCCTTGTCCTCCAAGCCCCTCAATGGGTCACTAAACCGTGAAAGAACTTTGACTTGTAAATATAGTTTTCTGAAGGAAAATGACGCATAGAACATGATGCGCACATGCGAAAAACGCGAACAAGTAACTCAAAAACCGAGAAATGCGCCGTTCAAATCGCTCAACTTATATGCAAATTTAAAACACCCCGGTTTTACGCCGCACCAAATGATGTCATCCGGCACGAATCAGAAGCGGGCACTGGTTTCCACGACGTCAATCAAATGTCTATCTACTCTTCGTATATGAGAACAATACTAAAGTCGAAATTCTATCTTTTGAATTCAAAACTCGAATCTCATTCATATGTTAGCTGTAATAAACAAGCAACGATTCCACATTGAAATACGTTTTATTTTAACAAACATCAGAGGAAAATGAGAGAAGACTGCAATATGACAATCGCAGTACATCAACTCCGTCAGTTTCCCGCCATTCGGGTGCGTTTGAAATGTCTTGAAGTTTTTAGATATTTCAAAAGCGATTTTCTCCGCGATTTCGGCTCCCTAAAAATGCGGAAAAATCACCACGTTATCTACTCACATAGTACTCTCAGAATATTCAATGAAATAAACAAGGTTTAGTGACCCATTAGTAGACACAACTTTTCCGCGCACTACCCTTTTTTGATATCAGGCCATGTTAAGGCTCTTGCCAAGTTTCCAGTCTCTAAACCATTTGGGATTATCTGCACTAAGACAACAGAAGTTTGAATAACATGGTGAATATTCTTTAATGGATTGTTTTTTTTCCAGATCCTACAGAGATAATACTGGAAAAATGAAGCCATTTTTCGAGGCTATCAGGCCATTAGTTCCATTGCTCATTTTCTTTGCCTTGGCATTGTATTGGGCTCACAAATCACCTACAAATGTAATAGAAAGAGATCCAAGAATGTTCTTCATGTTGTCTGGATCAGTATTCTCCAATATTTGTGTAAGTAATTTTTAGATTTGCTGTAAAAAGTGGCTTTATTGCTCTATTGCCCTGGCAGGTATTTTTTTCTTCCTCTAAATAAGCTATGATTAATTTTGGCCCAAGAAGCAGCTCAAACACAAAGTATTTATTTAAATACTGCTTTTTTTGTTTTGTATTTGAATATATTCGATGCATCTTTTCCAAAAGTAATTTATATTGAATTTTGTTACTTTGGCAAACACTGTTTATGAAAATTTCCGAGGGGCTATTCTCAGAAATGATGAGTAGTCTTTTCAGTATATGATATATCAAAGCTGGAAAGTATTATGAAGTCATCTGATGTATAACTTCTCTCGCCAGCTTTTAGTGCGTGGTTTTTTTTTTTTTTTTTTTTTTTTTTTTTTTTAAAAAAACATTAATTATCTTAACTGAACATACTTTGACATGCATGTGTAATTAAAAGAAATAATTCAAAACAAACTGTCATTTTCATGTGACTGTAATGGATCAGTTGCGCTGGGCACAGAATCGCGTTTTGATGCTTGATTCTTGTAGCTTAGCTAAAAATAGTAAGACTGTCCAAACAGCATCTTCCCACATTCAGTATTAGCCGAAATATCACCCTTTGAAAAGTCGGGTTTTTAAGGTGGTGCACCGCGGTAATAACACCCTTGGTTTTTTCCTTTATTTATTTTAAAGTTAGTACATAAACTTACTTTAAGGGATTGTACAAGTCGTACAAATGAATCAGATACAGATCGTACAAATGATTTAAATTAGGCAATGTAAGAACAAAATAAGAAAATGACAGAGCAAAATAAGAAAATGACTAAGAGCAAAATAAGTAAATGACTAAGAAGCGATGGATAAAGGCTAAAGATTTGAGAGGTTGTCAACGTGATAGAATGCATTCTCCAAGACCAAAGCCCTAAGTTTTGAGAAAGAAGACGTTTATTTCACCCCTCTTAAGTGTTTTTCTCATCTCAGAAGGAAGGGCATTAAGTAGTTGAATTGATGCTGGTCTCAATTTGTTTTTGAAATAGAGTAGGTGAACTTTTCTGGAGTTATGAAATTATGCCTGGTGTCGTGGCTATGTGAGGGTAATAACTCATTAAGATCAATTACTTTGTTAAATATAGCATACTTTAAAGTTTCGTAGATGTACAGGGATGGGAGCGTAAATAGTTTATTTTGTTTGAAGACTACTTTACAGGGGTAGTTGAAGGGGAGATTAAACAAGATTCTGAGTATTTTCTTTTGCTCGATAAACAAACTCTCTGAGTGAGAGCTTCTGCCCCAGAGGATGATCCCATATCTCAGATGAGATACGATATGCCCATGATAAAACATTAGCGCCACTTCTCTTGATGTTATCTTGACAAGATTCCTTGAGGCCCATTTATGACTTAGTATTTTACTGATCGTATGATCAATGTGGGTTTTCCAATGGAGATGCTGTTCTAAGTGGACCCCTAGAAATCTCGTCGTGGTACTCAAATCTAGGCAAAGGGAATCATTCAATTTAATTAATTGCACTGGCGGATCTGTCAGAGCAGATGGTGTGTAATACAGCGCCTGTGACTTCTCAGCATTTAGCATTCATCCATTCACATTAAACCAATGGCTGACATGATAGAAAGCTCTTTCGGCACCTGCCAATGCATCATTGCCAATTAAAACTACTGAGGTGTCATTAGCAAATAGGTGTGTTCGAAAGTCTGCATATTGAGGCAAGTCATTTATAAAGATATTGAATAAAAATGGACCCAATATTTTTTTTATCCTTTTTATTTTAATGAAGATAGTACAATACGTGTATCCTAATTTCCATGTAATTTTTTCTTTCTTTTTAGTGTCGACTGATTGTGGCTCAAATGTCAAGTACAAGGTGTGAGGTGTTTAACCCTCTCCTAGTTCCTCTCTCATTTGGTATTTTGTTGTCATTGATGATCCCCGTATTGGAATTGTTTATCTTGTACGCACTTTTAATCATTGCAACTTTGGCTCACATTTATTATGGTGCAAACGTTGTAAGTGCAAAACCTTTTCTAAAGTTTTTTACACTATGGGTCAGTTAAGTAATTTTTTTAATTGTATATTTTGAGATTATTCAGTGAACTAAGCTCACAGTTCATTTTTCAGCCTTTTCTAATGATAGCAACCGAAAGAGGAATTCACTTGAAAGTGTAAATACAGTAGGGTAGTTGCAACTGGGTTTGAACCGTGCGCTAGTTGCTTTCAATTTACATGTAACTATCGATATGGTAGAGGAATCTGCAGTGGAAGAATACACAGCAGGCGGTGCACAGTGTTGTAAAACCCTGATCCAGCCTGTCAAAAGTCTAAATGTCCGAATTTGGTGGATGCTAAACAATTTGAACAGAATGGACTCCCTGATGTCCATTGAGTTGATAAAGGTCGATGTCATGGTCACTCTATCGAAATTAGCGATGTACTGATAAGAAACGTGACAGGTAAAGGAGAGAAGCCATTTCAACCGGTGAACAATGCCTCTCTACAAGACCTCGGCATGCTGTGTGAGAAGTTTTTTGATATCTTTTATTTTCAATATTTTTATGATCTACTGAGTAAATATGACAAATATTTCGATGGCTAATACTTTTTCAATTTTAATGCCTGTGGTAAAACAAGAAAATTCTCTTATCTTTATCAATGAGTCCCAGTCCAGGCAAACAAGCCAAAAAAAGGTCCTAACCTCGGACAAATTAGCACAAACTTCTCTTGTGTTTTTAATCACTCTAAAACATGTCTAGAGCCGCCAAAAAAAATTTTACCATTTGCCCCCCCCCCCCTCCCGGAACAAAGTCAAAATTGCTTAAAACAAATTGCGGCCGTCTGAAAGAACGTATAAAATGATTGTCGACTTTGTCAGCGTTTTCCAGATTTTGTGTGATTCTAATGCATTCTGTGAAAAAAATTATTCTTATCAATATTTCAGAGTATAAAATTCTGCTTTCAAATGTATTTTACTTGTTTAAGTTTTGACTTGTTGGTCCCAAGCCACGAAGATAGAGACTGAAAAAAGACGCTAAAATTTTTTTGAAATTTAAAGTTTTCAAAGTGTAAGACACAGCTTTGGCAGAATTTTTTCTCTTTAAACTGTTGGCACCGATGAAAAAAGCGTAAAGTTTTCTTCTCAAAACATATATTTTATCAAAATTTAACTGTAGGAGAACATTATAGGGTCTTCATGGAATAGTGTCCAATTTGATGTTAGTGATTTTTTGAAAATGGGAAACTTGGAGCAAACAGGCCATGCGCCGTAGCAATTCTACAAAACTTTTCGAGTAGAATCCATATCTGAAGTCAAAACATACCCTCGCTTTTTGAAATTTTTGACTTACAGCCCCCCAAAGCGCCAAAATTTTTGGGGGGTCGTGGCCCCCAAAATTTTGGAGCAGCAGGGGTCGTATGGCACATCAATAAAAAGGTATTGACCTCCCCTCTCAGGAGACTTTTAGATTTTGATATCTGAATAATTTGGCCGCTTACAGCATCGAATTGAAAATTGCCCCGAAAATGCCCCATAACTCCAAAGAACGGGGGTTAAGGGAAAAAGTACACAGAGCAAAATCTACTTATTTTTGCCGTAAATTCCAAATCCAAAGTCAAAACATACCCCTCCTTTTTGAAAATCGCGAGAAACGAGGCGGCATCCCCCCCCCCCGGAACACCCCCAAGGGGCCATTTTGGGCAGCTGAAAATATTTTCATTCTATTCTTTGGGGTCGATTGAGCCAGTGAAAGTTTTGGTCCCGAAGCTCAATTTTCCGCCGTTTTAGAGAAAAAGCTAGTGGTTGGGTGGTCTGAAACACCCGGTATAATTTAGGGCATAGTGAAGTGTGTTTAATAGAGAGGAGAGGCTAGGTCTGGGCACAGAGAATAAAAGGAAGTGGCCTCATTTCAAGCATCTTGGATTTTGTTGATGATGTAGGTCGGTACAGATGGTTTATATCATCGATTTTTTCGGAAACGGGGCTGTTAAAAAAAAAGTCATTCTATGTAAGGTGTTAGAAATTGTATTTTGAGTTGATCTCAGTAAAGTGAAAAAACAGACGTTATGGTCCGTTTTTTATACTTCGAATCTCGGATTTTGCTGAAATATCGACGCCACATTGTGCCGACCTATGTAGTGGGGTGAACAATTGTCGAGAATCGACTACCTCCTTTTTTTCTCCATGAGATCTGGGTTTTGCCACAGTGTGCAGTATGTTGTGCTGTAGATCTGCAGGAGGTCTTGATATTAGTCAGGCCGTGCCATTTCGGCAATTTATTTGTTTCATAGCATTTTTTCAGCTTAAAACCTACCTACAACTATCTGAAAAACTGTCTACAGTGGAAATCGGATAGTACAACATCGCTTTCAACGACATATCGGTCATAACGGCGTGCGATCTGGTCGTACTCGTTATTGACTTCCCATTGACTCAGTGTATTTGTGGATCGGTTATGACGACAATCGGATATATCGACCAATTCAGGCCGGTCCCCAGAGGGTCGTTGTGTCCGATTTCCACTGTAGTTCTTTTCACAGCGCAATTTTAGCTCACGTTATCACGACACCACAGAGTTAACCCAACCTCAAATGAGACAACGAGATGTCAACAACAACATCGCCGCCGCCATTTTCCCGTCTGTGACGCCAAAATTCGAATTTAGATGGCGGTAACACACAAGACACTCCAAACATGTTTTGAGGACTCCTATAAAGGAAGTGTTATTTCTCTGTGTGGAAGTTTCTCAGTGCAATTTTACCATGTGCATTGTTCATCTCGCACGTAGAACTGCAGGAATAATCTACTCGCAGACCAAACCCTCCCAAGTTCAAACAACCCATTTCTTTTTTTTCTGGTTGTTTAATGGCTTTTATTCCAGGGGGAGCAATGCTGTCAATTCCTTTGTCATATTTATTACTACCTTTTTTTCAATCTCATCCACAAAGAAATACACTTTTATGTACTAAGTAATCAAAGTTTTTACCAGATTATCCCATTCATTTTATGACCTCTACTTTATGAACTCCTATAACTTGCTATTGCACTGCTATGAACACCGGGAAGTATTTACAGAGTTGATGCTTAAAAACTGGAATTTGGGAGCGAGTTTTTCATAGAACATGCATTAAGACTAATTTTACTTAAAATCATTAATATCTCGGTTTTTTCAATTTTCAGTCTTCTGTATGTTTTTCTTAAATGTATTACCATGTCAATTTTTTCAGGAATGTACAACCTCATTATGCCTTTTATTGCAAAATCTCCCATTTTACTTCTGCAAAAAGTCACTTTGCCTTTCTTGTTCACAGGTGAACCAAATGTGTGATCATTTCAAAATTAAATGCTTCAAAATACCATACAAATGATTTTTCTGGCCCATGTAAGTAAACAACGGAGTCATTTACTCTAAGACACTTTACAACATTTACTTATTTTGCTTCTCTCTCTCTCTCTCTCTTTTGTTCTTGAACATTTGTTGAATTCGTATTATTTTTCTGAATTTATATCTTGTTTGTAGTATTGTAACATTTGTATTTAATCAAATGAGAGATGAAACTTTGAACTCTGAAGTCAGAAATAAGCTTAAAATTCCTAATAAAAAATAAAAAAATAAAAAAAATTGAAAAAACTGGAAATTGAACTCCCTATTGTGTCAACAGAGTGCAAGTGAGGTAGGTTTTTTAAATAATTTAAGTACTTAATTATTGTTGAATTCTTCGCTCCAATTCCATCATACGCTATATGTGGTGTCCCAACAGTACTGCACGTTTTCTTTTTTTAAGGAACGGTAGCAGATATCAAAATCCGGTTTGTGTAGTGTTAAAGTGCTAATAATGACCGCTAAAACAAGATCAACTGGAACTCTTCAGATAAAAAACTGACCAAGCCACAGCATTTTGAAAATGACATGTCGGGTCGATCCCTCCAGGATTCCTAGAATTTTTTTTGCGAAGGAACCAAAGATTTAAAGAGTCATAAATCCTACAAAAAAACCCTGATCGAATGAAATTTGGGACATAGTGTCACTCAACATGACTGCTCAGCACTTATGACCACACTAGAGCATAATGTCAAAAAGCGGCAACAAATGAAAGAGGTATATCGTCACCAAAGAATTAGAGGATAAGCATGGGATCGTCTGTCCTCCACACTCCCCTTATAGCCTGGACCTCCTACCCTGTAACTTTGTAACTTTTGGCTGTTTTCCACGTCAAAGAAAGGCTTAGGATGCAAAAAGTTCAACTTCATCAACAAATTCAACAGAGCTGTTGAAACTATTCCCTGTACATCTGCAGAAGTAAAATTTCGAAAGAAATCGTGTTTGTAGAAGTAGGATACGCAGTTGCGGTGCTGTGTGGAAAGTGTAAGAAGGTATTAGAGAAGGAAACCAGTGTCCAGTCGTCTGGTGAAGAAAAATGAGTAACAGTACTTCTGGTGAGATTCCATAATATTAACTTAATATAACCATCTGAATATTCAAATCTTTGTTTTCGTTCAGAAAAAAATGCTAAAAATCCTGGAGGGGTCTGCCCACCATGTCATTTTCAAAACGATGTAACTCGGTCAATCTTTGACCTAGAGCGCTTGGGTTGACTTTGTTTTATCAGTCACTACTAGCACTTGACGCTTTGCACACTGCATTTTGGTATCTGCGACCGTTTGTCCGAATAAAGGAAATGTGCAGTATTCTTGGGACACCCTACTTATTGTGGCTCTCTTGTGAGAATTACTTTTCCTAAAGTTTATATCTAAGCATGAGGGGAAAAATAATGAAGCCATTTATGTAGAAATATGTAGGTCAAGAAATTTATTACAGATCAAATCCTTCTCTCAAAAAAGAACTTCAGAAATTTAAATTTGAAGCTAAGTCAACGAGAAACAATGATTTTAAGAAAGATCACATCTGCTGGTTTTACAGAGAAATTCTTTCAAGGCATGAAATGAACTACTTAGCTTATTTAAGAGAGCTAGAACGATTCATATTAATCAAAGGCCAATTACTGTTTAGATTTTTAATGACTTTTCGAAAAAAATAAGTATTTTGTAACTTCAATATAAAAATAATGAAGAAATCATCTGTCTCCTAAAATGAGGGAAAAAATCAAGGGGGGTGCCATCTCTCAAAGAACTACATGCAATTGGTCTTATTTCCTTTTATTACTATTATAATGTGCTCACACACACACGATCTTTGAGGACATTATGGAGTGTTTTCTAATTATTTACATGAACAAGGAATTTTAACATCCGTTGTGTATAGATATACTGTGGGTTTTTCTTCAAATTCTAATTGTAAAATATGCCAGAAGTCTGGAACTCAGTACCAACACTCTTGTAGGTTTGCAGATTCTAATGAAGCGTTATCCCTAAAAATGGTGAATGTTCGATATCTGCTGTTTGTGCTGGTATGGCTTCAAATCATAGTTGTAAGTTTTTCATTCAAGATCTGTCTGCTTTAACTAATGCAAGAATTTTGATAATGAAATATTCAATGCAAAAGGTAGTTTGTAAAATTTCTCCCTCTGCATTATAGATGATTTTCTGTTTCTCTTGAAAACTATTGCTTGTATCCTTCGAAATCTCATTAATCATTTCTCTCTGTACAAAATACACCATTAAGAAAAGGAAATATTATTTTCCCAACAGAGTGGTTCAATCAGTAAATTTCCATGAACCTCTATAAAAATATGATAAAAATTGTAAAGAGTTATGACGGCGAATTATATAGGACCAAACCATGAATAAAAAAATTAGTTGACTACTTGATACTTTTTAAAGTCCCTTTCTAACTCTTTAGGTGAATCTCCAGCTGTAGTTCCGAAAAAATCCATCACGTCGCGCTGCTAAAATTCGACTCCAAAATCAGTGATTATTATTTTAATATCACAATAGATATTTCAAATTCTAAGATTCATAACTTCTAGCAGCATACGTCCGGAATCCTTAGGAACAAACGCGAGCTTTGAAAGTTTAATAATAAAAGCTATAACTTGATCCCAGTTTCAATTATGGGATATCTGTAAGTGCGAGAGAGATATCTGCAACTGCTAAGAGGAGTCAATCGCGATCGGTTGCATCAAGGTCATCATGCTGAACCCTACTCTTTTGTGGGATCAAGTTTTAGAGCTTCAGAAATTACTTTTCACGTCTTTTTTATTGTCAATAGAAAGAAGAATGTTATGGCTAGAACTTATGACTCTTCGATTTTAACAGAAATTCCTTTAACTTTCATCAAAGCTCAAGGTTTCATGTGGGGCTGTACGGACTCTAAAAGCATGGACCAAAAAATCACTCCCTGCGCAAAAAATTTTCTTACTACGCACCGCTGTAGATTCACCATAAAACTAGTTCCAATCGGCAGCAAGTGCCCTAAAGTTGAGAAGTTTCTGTGCTGTGACATTTTTTGTCAATGTTGGTCCTTATTTTTATTATCCTATCCTCAAATGGCCAACGGAAAATTGTGTTATTTATACATTCTACACCTTGTCTCATCATTCAGGACGATCCTTTAATCTGTAAGAAAATGAGGAAGAAAAAAATTCGCTCTTGTTGGTTTAAAATCCAAAATCCATCCCTCTCACTGAGGAAAGATTTAACAGAGTGTCATTATCAAATTTCTAAAATTATGGCTAAAAAGATTTAACTTAAGAGTTTTTATTACTTTGAAATTTAACTAAAGAAATTTTTTGTTAAACATCACCCTTTGTTATCATGTTGTTAATGTTTTTCTTGCATTAATTTAAGTGTTCATTTTCTACTGCTCTTTTTTTATTCGGATCAATGTCTTTCGTAAATTTGAACAGCAAAGGAGACAACTCAATTTTGGTATGTTTTTAAAACGTAACAAGGAACGGTATTTAATGCATGCGTGAGTATTTAGTTCTCCAATTATGCCTCATTGTCTGAATAATTTCTAACATAAATATTGAAAAGAAAACTTTTTTTTTGAGACCAATGTTGGAAGAGGTCCACATAATCAATGTTGATTAAGGTGCTTCCTTTTTCTTTAACGTCATATTTCTGTCATAAAAAAATTATTCTTAATATCCTTGCCATTTTTACTCTTTTGTCTCTTTTCTTTGTTAAAATGCTCTATGATAATGAAAATCATTATTTTGTATATTAATTTTTCATTATTTAGCAGCAGTTGGAAAAATAATAGCAGTCTTTGCAGAATAATTACAAATTCATGAAAGTTGTGATTTACTAAATGCTTAATCTTACACTCTCTATCCTTTCCTGTGCAGTCTCTCTTATTTGTTTGTCCTATTTGTTGTTGCAAGAGAGCTCTCTTGCATATTTATTTGATATTTTTTCAATGGGTCCATTTGTCCATCCATTTTTGACTCAGTGTTTCTTTTGTCTGTGCTATCTTTCAAATCTTACATCCCAAGAATTTCTGCAATCTTCTTTCCTATTTTTTAACTTTAGTCATAATTTTTCGTTCTTTGAGCTGTAACTTATTCCTGGAAGAAAGAAATTTTCGTAAGCTTCATACCTTTTGCTTCTCATTTACTTCCTTCAGTGGTGTGGGGTATGTTTGGTGACAGGACAAGCCATGGCAACTGCCATTTCACCTGGGTTGGATCTCACCGCAGGGGGTATAAGATATTCCCCAGGTATAGACGAACGTCAGGGAAAATGTTAAAGATTTAGACCCTCTCTAACCCCTGTCTTCAATCGCAGGAATAAAATATGATAACTTGTTTCGGTGAAAATATTGTCTTATTCCTTTCTTTTATCTCTATTTATCTCTTTTCCTCAGCCCTTTTTTTCATTAATATTCCCGGCTTGAGAGAATGCAGTCTTAACTTTGATGGAATTAAGTAGAAAAATGCATGAAGCACTGCGATGACTTTAAAGGTTAACTGCCTGGAAACTGCGCTTCTCAACTCCTGCTGTTGCTGAGAGACAAAAGAAGCGAGCTTGCAAATAGCATGTTTTATTGATCCAAGCTGGTAGTACACTGTAGCTGCATCACATTTAATAACCTGTCTCTGGTTTTTCTAATGTGTAATTTATTTTCTTTTCATTAAGATATACTCATTAATAACCTTTTTTCAATCGTATTAAGCAAAAATTCAATCAACTTTTTGGGCATAATTTTCTTCTTTCCTCTCAAATCTTGAAACAAGGTTGCTCTACTTTGCCCCTCAGACTGCATGCCGTTGTCCTGTTTGCCTTTTTTACTTTGAAAGCTACAAATACCTTATTGTTTAGTCTCTATGTGCTTTAAAGATTCTTATGTTGTGAAAGCTGTAAATGATTTTTAAATTTAATTTTGATCAAAAGTATTTTTGAAATGAAAATGAATGTATTACATGTCTGCATCCCTCCTTAGTCTCGAACTAGGTCCCTCGTCTGAACCAAAAGATAGATAATTTGTATAATTCTGTCACAATGTACTGGAAGTTCTTTTGCAATGAAGAAACTAAAATAAAAAAATCAGAATATTGTATAAGTTTATAAATTTTCAGTCCTTCTTTTTATTTTTTCAAAGGAAAATCAACTACCACTCGGCATGCAATTTTTCGATCAATGATAAAATAAATTTTGTAAAATTTCACTGGTCGAAAAACATTCAAGTTGCCTATAATCTAATAACATGTGACAGGGAGTTAGCAATTTTGGAATTTATTACAAAGAATTTTCTAGATTCACCATCCCTATGTTAACTGAGATGCAACTGAAATGGATGATGTATCAATTCTTGAAGAATTGATTAAAGTACATCTCCAAAGGAAATCACACTAATAATTTTTAAGATTACACATAAGATGTTCTCACCCAAGTTGTATTCTATTTCTTTCTTAATACTCTGCGTTGTTTGGATTCATGAAATATATTATTTCCTCCATTCTCTACTTTTCAGAGGATTTTAGCATTGTATGTAATTTGAAGATCTTTCATCATCGATTTGATTAAAGAAGTCGACGCTGGACTACCCTCCCCCCCTCCCCTCTCACCGGAAATTATGAGAATATTTTTTCTGCACACACTACTTGTAATGTCACCGTTCTTCAATATTCATTGCAACAACGGTAGTTACAAGATGAGTTGTCCAAAAATGTATGATCGACTATAATCAGTTAAACAGATCCTCACTGAAGTGAAAAAAGTAAAAACTAAACTGTACCTTCTTTTCAATTTGTTGTATATCGAGTTCTGATGATGCATTTAACTGTTTTCCATTGAATGGTAGTGGTTGATTTTGTTTTAGAAGTGTCAAGTCGCCTCCATGAAAATTAACTTTTGCCTAGTTCAAACCAGTGTTCTGTACAAAATCTAAAAACCCAATCTTAGTATGTTACATATATTTTTTTCGCTATTCCACCCTTTTTTAGGATATTACAATACAAGTTATTATACAAGTTTGTAACCCTCCCCCCCCTGTTAACTTTTGAACGGTTTGAGATGGAAAAACGAATCTTTGGGAATGTTTCTATCTCAAAGGGGTCCATCTTCTAGGGGGGTCAAATTGGTTGCCCAATCCTCAGAGGAGGAGGGGAGCCGCTAATTTTTTTTTTAAACGGTAACCCTTTCCTTGTGATAGATCATTGGAAAGAACATTAAGAACTTAAAATGTTGGCGCAAACCACAGGTCAATATCTTAATTTTTGACAGAGTTATGATAGGTCAAAGGTCAAATTTAACCTATTATCATAAAATCGTAACTTCGGTTCAAATTCTCGTAGAGAAAAAAATGAATTTCGTGGTAAGGTATTTTGGAAAAGAAAAACAAATTTTAAACGGTCAAAATCAATCACCTTAAATTTCGTTTTTTTAAACGTTGCATGAAATTTGGGGGCTTGAAAACGCAATGTTGAACTAAATTTGAACTTACTGGGATAATGTTGACGCGAAGTAGGGAAAATTGGCTCATTTCACGAGAAAATTATATGATCTTTGAACTGTCATATTTGGGGGTCCGAACCCACCCTTAAAATTAGTTTGAAGTGATTTCTGCGATTTTTACTTAAACGCGCTTATAATTTGGTGAATTTTCCCGTTTCAATTTTTTCTCTACGATAATTTGAACCGGAGTTATGATTTGTTGAAGATAGGTAAAATTTGACCTTTGACTTTGACCTGTCATAACTCGGTCAAAAATTAAGATATTGTTCCACGTTTTGCGCCGAAATTCTTAATTCTTCATGTTCTTTCCAATGACTTATCACAAGGTAGGGGTTACCGTTTGAAAAAAAACAATTAGCGGCCCCCCGCCCCCCTGAAGGTTGGGCAAAAATGTTGAGCCCCCCCCCCCGCCCTAGAAGATGGTCTCCTTTGATATAGAAACATTCCCAAAATTTTGTTTTTCTTTCTCTAACCGTTCAAAAGTTACAAGGGGGTGGCGGGTATGGACTTTTGGGACACCCTTTATTTATCAAATTCAATGAAAATGATTAGCTGAACGAGGTAAATACCAACTTGTACTTTTCTTTGGTACCTATTTGTTTAGGAGTACGTTTTTAGTATCCTNGGGGGGGGGGGGGGGTAGTTGGCTATCATTGAGTTTCAGAATCAGCTGGTGCGGTGTGTATGATGTAGAGCACCTGTATAGCCAAAGTATAGACAGGAGTGAAATTCCAGAAATCCATCAGGCCTCAACCGATGCCTCTACGAAGAAAGTTAGGGCCCCAAAAGGCAGCCAACCTATGAATTCAAAAGATCCAGAACGATTTATTATTACAATTGTTACAATTCGGCACTTGTAATGCACGAATTTGACTTAGGTTTTGCATAAACTTACTCATTTTTGCAGAAGAACACTCATTCATGAGCATTCTCGCCCATCTTGGTGTGAATTGGAATCTGAAGATTGGCAGTGAAATTTTGTGCTTTAGAAGGCTGGGTGCCCTTTTTGGCCCTAAAGCCCTCCATAAAGCGAGCTGTCCATACCCTTGCTATACAGTTACTCTAGAGTGATGTGTAAATTGGTTCAAGTTTATCAAAAACGACCGACGATATTGCAAAAAAAGAAATAAGAGTTCTAAAGTTTTAGCCCTCCACAAGACTCAATGTTAAAGACAAAGTTTAATGACTATATTCACCTTCAAAATATTTGTTTTCGGCTTTGAATTTTTGACTGGAGATAATGCACAACTGTTTGAACCCAATACTTCTCTCAACTCATTTTTCTTTTGGTGCGTTTATTTTAAATTCAGTTCAATCGATGTGAGCATGTGTAATTAACATTCTCCCAGTCTTGATTGTTACGGATGGATGGAAGCACCATACCTAGTGTGAAAGGGGAAGTCTGAAACAACTACAGTGAAATCTTTCTAAGTTGAACTATGGTCAAGAGAAAATCGGGCTAAGTTGCAAATGCTCTTGGTCCCCAGACAACACCAGTATGTAGGCGCAATTTCAAAAAAACTTTGACTAAAGACGAATTTGTGACTTTTGGCGTGAACAAAGAGTTGCTCAATTTGAAGAAAAAATATCGGAAAACCTGAAGAAAAATTGATTTTCTACGTCAAAAATAAAGAAGAAGAATTAGCGATTTAAGGAGTAAGAAACGTTTCAAAAAACAATTTCTAATAACGTAGGTACCTGTATGAAGGAAGTGTGGAAGTAAGGAGTCATTATCCTTACATTTTCACTTCTAGAATTTATTCTAATTCTCGAACTTGTTTCATGTCAAGCAGGAGAGCGGATAAGAGGAAAAGCTACTTAAGTAAAAAAAGGGTGGATGCAAAATTGGCAAAATTTCCCCCCTCATGGATTTTGACCAATTTTCAATATTTCATTTCTCATCATACCATACACCATTTCCCAAAATTTCAAGGCTTGAAATGAATTTCTTTCCGCGTAGCAGTGTTGTCAAGTTGAAAACTGTTGAGTTCCATATCTTTCGAACGAAAAAAGATATTGAGGTGTGGTTGGCGCTAAAATTCTTCCAAAATTGCGTTCTTTTGATGTATTCAGTCAATTTGATCGTTTAAGTAATTTAAGATTGCAATGATGCCATTTTTCATACTTTCTTAAGGATCAATTTTTTTTCAACCCTGGTACCTACAACGTCAAATGCCGGATTCTCGATTCGAACAAAAAGCTGCTCAATTCATTTTTCGTACTTTTCCATTTCTTTGGATATATTGTACTTACCTCCCAGGGAAATGTTTGATACAGGAGATATGAGCCATCAAAATTTACGCTTTGCGTGCGCTGACTGGAATCCGGGAGCTCGGAGTCGTCTACACACCCCCTCCCTTGCCACCGACAAGCTTTACAAGGTCATTCCCATGTATCTTATTTATTTAGGGGCCTCACGGTCCATTGTTGCCATTTTTGACCCATGTTTAGGTTTTTTCTCAATATTACTGAGTAAAACTTAATTTAAACTGAAAACTGTGTGTTTCTTAGGAAGGAGCGTTAAAAAATGAACAAAAGTACATACACGGTGCCCCAAAAGCCTCTTCCACCCCCTCTAAAATTTTTCCTAATCAATATTTCAAAACGAAACTTTAGGGATGTTTATAGATCATTGTTAGCTACTTTTGGGGCCCCGCCAAAATTTTCGGGCTCCCCCATTGGGAGGGGCTATAGACCTTAACCATTTTTCTTCCAATAGCATCCACTCCCCTTTGTGACAAGTCCATCGAAAGAGGATAAAAAAGAATATTTTAAGCGCAAATCACAAGTCCAAATCTTAAATTTTGACAGAATGGCGGCCGGTCAAAGTTCAAAATAATGGAAATTTGACATCTCCGTTTTTGTTGACGGATTGAGACGAGACCTGGCAGACGTGGGTTTTCTGGGACGAGAAAAACGATTCTGGCATTGATTTTCCGAAAAATGTTGTCTTTTTCAAAATGGCGGCGGGCAAAATGGCGACCTAGAGCGGCAAGAGAATATCTAGACTGCTCATCGGTGGATTTGCGAGAATCTTGGTATCCGCAAGTATCTCGGCACCAAAAAACGAATCTTTCATTGGATTTTTGAAATTCTGAATAACTTCAAAATGGCGCCGGAAAAATGGTGGAAACTTGGTATTACGGACGCTTACAGTCGGATTCGCATGAGACTCGGGGTCCTGTTGGTTTCTGGTTCGACGAAAATGACTTTCTAGCATTACATTATTGAAATGTTAAATATCATTAAAATGGCGGGCAAGTTTCATGCGAATCCAACCATAAGCGTCTGTAATACCAAGTTTCCACCATTTTTCTGGCGCCATTTTGAAGTTATTCTGAGTTTCAAATATTTAATGAAAAATCCTTTTTTTGTGCCAAGATACTCGCGGATACCAAGATTCTTGCAAATCCACCGATGAGCAGTCTAAATATTCTCTTGCCACTCTAGGTCGCCACTTTGACCGCCACCATTTTGAAAAAGACAACATTTTTCGGAAAATCAATGCCAGAATCGTTTTTTTCGTCCCAGAGGGACGGGGTGCTATTGGAAGAAAAAAAGCTGGGGTCCATAGCCCCTCCCAATGGGGAGCCTGAAAATTTTGGGAGGCCCCGAACGTAGCTAACATTGATCTATGAACATCGCCAAAGTTTCATTTCAAAATATTGATTAGGTAAAATTTTAGAGGGGGTGGAAGAGACTTTTGGGACACCCCGTATGTAGATTTTCCGTACGTTGCCAAATGTTCGAAAAAATTGTCCTAAAGTGCGTAGAATTGGATTATTATAAGTTGAAGGTTTAGGAAGTGAATGACGACTCTCATGTTAAAAACGTAAATTTTAAGTTTTGTTTTACTATACTACGCATAACATCTACCATGGAAAATTACGATACGTCCCACTTCTGTGATAATTGATCCGGTTTGTAGCTCTTTGGGACGATTTTACTTGAAAATTTGGCAATGTAAGATAAAGTTACGAAGAATATTATTGATGTAATTTTTTACGTCATTTCCAAAAATGTACCCTGTTTTAAGGTAAAATTAAGTTAAACATTAATATAATTGAAAAACACGTAAAAATAGGCCAAAAATGGCAACAACGGTCCCTAAGGCCCCTTAAAGGTAATTGGAAGCCAAAATGGCCAAAAATGAAACGTACGGAAGAATATGCATATATTGCACCCCCAAGGAGTGTGACTAAAGGTCAAATAACATTCAAAAGAGCTACCTTAAATATTAAAAGGCTGCAAAACGTGACATCTCGGTCAAGTTTCACTTCGTGGAAATCCAGGTACAACTATGCCTTATTTATCTGTTGCATGAATGGATAAGAGCTGTTACGTGCATTAATATGAAAGTTGTGCCCCACTTCCTTGAACCTTAGGCGTGGCAATATATAAAATGTTTGCCACTCTTGGCTCTTAAGTACGATTTTATTGAACGTTTAGCAACGCAGGGAAAAGCTACGGTTTTTATCCTTTTTTTACGTTCGTCCCAAAAATGTACTCAGCTTTCAGTTTAAATTAAGTTTTACTCAATAATACTGAAAAAAAAAAACCTAAAAATGGGTATAAAATGGTAACAATGGACCGTGGGGCCCCTGAATATTTATCAGAGACCAAAAATTGAATTACGCTCAAAAATACATGCGAATGACCTCGTAAAGCTTGTCGGTGGCGAGGGGGAGGGTGTGTAGACGACTCCGAGCTCCCGGATTCAGTCGGCACGCGCCAAACGTAAATTTTGATGCTCATATCTCGCGTACTAATCGTTTCCCTGGGAGGTAAGTACAATACCTACATCCAAAGGAAATGGAAAAATATGGAAAATAAAGTGAACATCTCTTTTGTTTGAATTGAGAATCCGGCATATGACGGAGGTTGAAAAAAAATTGATCTGTAAGAAAGTGTGAAAAATGGCATCATTGCAATCTTAAATTACTTAAACGATCAAATTGACTGCATAGGTACATCAAAAGAATGCAATTTTTGAAGAATCTTAGCGCAAACCGCACCTCCGACGCGCGAGGACGGAGGGACGAGACTGAAGATCCCCTGACTCCCATGCGTGCACAGGGGACCCCCTGTTCACTCTCTTGCGAGCACGAGGGATGCACTGTCATTTCCTTGGGAGCACAGGGGCCTTCCTGTTCATACCCTAGGGGAGCACATGTGATCTCGTGTCCATTCCCAGGGGAAAGTTTTACCAGGGTATAACTTGTAAAGCATCTAAGGTAGATATAGACGCAGTGTTTGGTCGCACTGTATCCGTTCCCAAGTTCGGTGACGTCTTTGCAGGACACTGAAGGGTCACATATTAGCTTTCAGGGGAGCACACGGGTCACATGTTAGCTTTCAGGGGAGCACACGGGTCACATGTTAGCTCTCAGGGGAGCACACGGGCTCAACTGTCCATTCCCCTGGGAGCACATGTGATCACATGTCATTCCCCTGGGAGCGCATGTAATCACATGTCATTCCCAGGGGAAATTTTAAGCAGGAAGCAACCCCTTCCCCTCGCCAAAACGGCCGGCAGGAGGGGCATCCATACAGTGAAATTCTCTCAAAGCAGCATGTTAGCTGTCAATTTATATTTAATTAATTTAAGGCTTAGATTTCGGATTTCAAGTCGCAAAACGTACTTAAATATCCCAAAGTGACAAAAATACTGAAATATGGCAACCGCTTCGGCCTTTATGTCGGATTAAAAACGCTCCTTGGGTTCAAATATTTCGAAACAGCTGGAGCGAATCGGTTGATTTAATGCATGGTAATTGACAAATTTCATTGGTATGCTTTTTGAAATGTACACAGAGGACTCAGATTGGCGTCCGTTTCATTTTTTATTAGATAACTGGTAAATAGATGGTTCTTTTTGCAATCGATTGTTTTGTCTTCTAGCAGGAGTGTCCGTTTTGTTGCAGAAAACAGCAGGTGTCGTTTCTACTAGCAGACAAAACCCTGCACTACAAAAAGGATTCTATTATCCAGTTGTTTTAATTTCAATCAAACAGGGCGCGCGCATAAATAATGACACAATAACTCTGAACGCTGACACATGCATGCGAGGAAAAAAAGGCAGGTGTATTCTTGATCAATTGCGATCGATAAATTACATTTCAACATACAAATTATCTGTACTTCGTTTCAAAAAAATTATATTTTTGTGGGAATTTCTAATAATAGAATAAACAGTCGCCCATTTAAGTCTTTAGTGTGCATTTGAAAAAGATCATGCGTGAGATTTGTCAATTACCATTAAATTAACCAATTCATTTCCAGCTCTTTGGACATACTTAAATGAACCCAAGCAGTATTTTTCGTCCAAAATGAAGGACGAATAAGCGGTTGCCACTTTTAAATATATTTTCGTCACTATGGGATATTTACCTTTTTTGACTTAAAATTCGAAATCTACACTTCAAATTAAATACAAATCGACACCTACCATGTCGATTTGAGAGAATTTCGGTGTATGTGGGCGAAAATTTAAAATGAGGGACATTTCAGGCAGGGACTGAGAGCACTCTCGAAGCGGAGCGAAGAGCGACTGTTTTGGCCGCTTCCGCTCGCGAGCGGTCCCAGCGGGTAGGTAATGCTCTCTTGCCGCTATCACACGCTGAATGTGGAAATCATCGGCCCAATGCCTGAATTTCGCGCGAGACGCGCAAAATTCAGCAACCATCGGACCAATTTTGAATTTGTCTGAACTATTAGGGTAGATTTGATACACATCTGGATGAAAATTTCTCAAATTTGCTAAATTTCAGCCGTCGGGCGATGACTGTTGACTTCCACATTCAGCTGCTAAATTCAGCGTGTGATTGCGGCATATGGTAATGCTCCTGAACTCGGGCACCACGACCCACTTAACCGAAACCTAACAGGTCCAAAGCTGGAGCATATTTTCGGTAAAGCCTTATCCACCGTACAGCCTATTTGCTCCAACCGCAGACACTGAAAGCAAGAATCATAAAGAAAGAGGAGAAATGCAGGCTCACCTCGCTCCACCTCGATTGATGTACATGATTACTTTCTAATAAGTCTGCTGGATCGGATCACCCCCCCCCCCTCCTGAGTAATAGGTCTGGTCGGGAGGCCGCAAACTTACAAATTTGAAAAAACTACCCACTCGAGTTTCATTCACCATTGTAAGCACACAAGATTACATTAAATGGATAGAATTGACATTATTGGCTTCGCCTTGACTTCTTTCAGCGATCTGTACAATTAAAATTTAATAACAGATTTTATAAATTTTTATAACTATGAAAAATAACTCAAAATGATCGGAATCGGCGCCGCGCTCCCTAATGGCGCGTCGCGGTACGCGGACGGACGCCGAGCGTCGGAATACTCTTTTTCCTCCTTAGCTCGCCGGCGCAGACACGGTGACGCCAAGCCTGTGCGCTCCGCAGCGGTGCCGAGCATGCAAGTTTGCGACTGTCTTCTTGTTTCAATTTTTGAATTCACATGAGCTTAAACTTAAAATAGGGCGAAAATTTCCCCCTTGCACTCCAGACCCCCCCCCCCCTTATAGGACGCCTAAATCAATCTCCCAACAAGGATAGTAATTGGTGAACTGGCATGGACTGTTCATACCATTTCTGAATTAGGGTAACCAGGAATCAAAGCAGATAATCGTATCACCAAAAATTGCCTATCCGCTCAACCAGGTAGTTTAAGATTACGCTGGCTTAAATGGGCAATGATGTTGCTGTTAAATTGCTTTTCTTCGAATTTTAGTCAGTTTTTTAAAGTTAAATTAATTTAATCAGCATCTGGGTGCTCTGATCATTGGGTTTTCAAGCTTATGGCAATATAACATTGGTAGATTTTCGAGGAATTTACCTCTAAAATCTCTCCAATGCTTCGCCTATCAACATGTTTTCAAGCATTTCAAATCGCGTGAACTATCAGAAAATAGACAGTCCGCCTCCAATGCTTTTTACAAACGGTGATTCCAGGATGCATTTCGTGAATGAGTCTACTTTTTGGTTGATTGATCGCTTCTCCGAGTAAGATGGGGGTGCCAGTGCCCGCTTTGATTCTAGGTTACCCTAATCTAAATGTTTTAGATTCAGGAATAAAACATCCGGCAGTGTTTTAAGAAATCGAAAATTTATTCAAGAAATCAAAATTTAATCATTTTTAAAGTTCTCTTCCATCCTATGATAAAATAAGTTGTAACTGTGGGGTTTCTTTTCTTACACAAGTGAACAAGAAACACAATTTCTGGTAAAAAAAAGTACTATGAATACTGTGAAAAGAGAGGAGAATGACAAAATTAACTGAAGGAGCAGATATTTATTTTAGATTCTTTCTTATTATTTTTTCGTCAGTATTGGTTTCAAATCAAGAACTGTTTTCTTATTCAACATTTCCTTTTTGGGTGTCTTCATCAGCACTAGATGTGTGCCACGTTAAGCGCTCTTCATAGAACTTGATTACAACTTGTGGGCATTTAATATTTGCTTGCCGAGCTGGAACGAGATCTGCTTCATCATTGTCTTTCCTGGGAACAAACAAAAGAAGGAAAATAATATTGGAAAAAGGAGCAACCAGCTTTGATGCTAGTTGGATCAATTTAAATAAATTCATGGTTGTGACTTGTCTGAAAAAAGAAATAAAAACACTCAAATTAAGAGAATCCTTTGATGACATTTGGAAACTCAGACTGACTCATAAATTTCTAACGAGAAAAAAGAAATAAAAACACTCAAATTAAGAGAATCCTTTGATGACATTTGGAAACTCAGACTGACTCATAAATTTCTAACTTACTCCCCGATTTTTCTTTGGGTCATCACTTCAATTACTACACTTTGGCGCACTTAGACTGAATCAGTCATCGTCAGATATCTTTAAAAAAACTAAAAAAGTAAATAATAAAAACGCTTACTAAAACATGATAAGGTTGCCATAATTTCTTCATATTTAAATTCTCTGATAATTTTCGTTTTTCCTTGCCTGTAAAATTGTCGAATTTCCTAATTTTCCCCGACCTTGGAACAAAGTTACCTCTTTTTTTAAAACAAATACGCTGACTTTGGACAAAATTTCCGTGTCTAGAGATCCAATTATGGAAAGAGGCATTTAAGAGCTGGTCAAGAGATGACACGCCTTAAAAGAGGACCAGAAGAGGTACAGTTGAAAGATCTGTGATATGTTTTAGAGGTTAGTAGATGTGTGAGAAATTCCCTGACTCCTCCAGGTCAAAATATTTCATATCTTCTGATTCCTTTTCAGCTACCGACATGAAACTCATTTGGTATCTTAATCTGGGTATGAGTAATCATTCCAGTGAGTTCCTGAATAAACAGCACAGACATGTAAGTGCTGACAGAGCTGGTCCTCATTTGCGTAGGTTGGACAATGATGATCTGTGACCCTTTGATTTTCCGTGACTCCTCTCCAGCCAGTCTGGTAGACTTCCGATGATTTTCATAAATCTTCCGTTTTCCAGTTTTCAGGACCAAATTTATTTTAATTCGAGACAAGTTTCTTGTCAAAAGAATTTTTCTTTTTTTATTGCTTAACTAAACCTGTGATGATTTTGGTTCACCACAAGAGGAAAGTATGAACGGGGATGTTGCATGTGTGAGAAAGAGCCGTATGCAAAAACGACATTTTTCGCCCCCCCACTAAAACTTAGTCAAACTTCGTCTATCAGTTACTCATACTGGAGCGCTTCTTTCCCCCAATTTTCAGACCCCCAAAAAATTTTGGGGGGGCGCTAGGGGGGGTGGAAGTCAAAACCTGTAAACCTCGATATCTTTCGAACGAAACAAGATATTGAGGCCCGGTTTGGACGAAAAATCGTCTAAAATTGCATACTTTAAGATTCTAAAGGTCAAAATCCCAAAATTAAATTTTTAACTTATCTTATGTGCTTTTTTTAGTTTTTGAAGAAAAACAATTTCCTTTAAACACACTAAACTGAAAAAGCACAATTTTGTATTTGAACCTAAACTAGTTTTTTAAATTGCTCGTCTTTTTCCGCATCCAACGAGTGGTCGTATAAGCTGGGGAATCGAACGGTTCCGGAGTTATGATCGATTGAAGTTTCCGCTCAACGCGCGCCGACCGATTTTCGCGCTCAAAAAAGTCGAATTTGACTGTTATTAAATAAAATTGAATGTTCAAACTGAGCAAAATGCATTATTAGGGACTCTTGAGGGTCACTGAGTTCAGAAATTACAGATACTTCCAAAAAATTCACGTTTTTAAAATTACAGCTCCGTAGCGCTATTTTAGAGGTCCACTGAGCGCCAACCGGCTGCTCAGTGGTCCTGTACCGAGCTGTAAATTTAAAAACATGAATTTTTTGGAAGAATCTGTAATTTCTGAACTCAGCGACCCTCAAGAGTCCCTAATAATGCATTTTGCTCAGTTTGAACATTCAATTTTATTTAATAACAGTCAAATTCGACTTTTTTGAGCGCGAAAATCAGTCGGCGCGCGTTGAGCGGAAACTTCAATCGATCATAACTCCGGAACCGTTCGATTCCCCAGCTTATACGACCACTCGTTGGATGCGGAAAAAGACGAGCAATTTAAAAAACTAGTTTAGGTTCAAATACAAAATTGTGCTTTTTCAGTTTAGTGTGTTTAAAGGAAATTGTTTTTCTTCAAAAACTAAAAAAAGCACATAAGATAAGTTAAAAATTTAATTTTGGGATTTTGACCTTTAGAATCTTAAAGTATGCAATTTTAGACGATTTTTCGTCCAAACCGGGCCTCAATATCTTGTTTCGTTCGAAAGATATCGAGGTTTACAGGTTTTGACTTCCACCCCCCCTAGCGCCCCCCCAAAATTTTTTGGGGGTCTGAAAATTGGGGGAAAGAAGCGCTCCAGTATGAGTAACTGATAGACGAAGTTTGACTAAGTTTTAGTGGGGGGGCGAAAAATGTCGTTTTTGCATACGGCTCTTTGCAATTGAACTATTAATTCTGATGTAAAAGTTCACGAGAAACACAATGGTCCCACTGATTTTCTCTGAAATCAACTCCCAAGCTCAACAAACGCTCTCAAAGTTGAGGCTGTAATGGAGGGGATATCCCACACTATCCTAAGAATCCACGTCTACGTCAAGACAAACTCTCCATACAAAGATAGGGAGCAAATACATTAGCAGGGTTGTCATGTTTTCAGTTTTTGAGTCACCAAATAAAATGGCAGCCCTGTCAATGTATTTGCTCCCTATCTTTGTATGGAGAGTTTGTCTTGACGCAGATTCTTAGGATAGCGTGGGATATCCCCTCCATTACAGCCTCAACTTTGAGAGCGTTTTTTGAGCTTGGGAGTTGATTTCAGGGAAAACCAGGGGCACTATCAGGTTTCTTGCATACATGGAATCAATAGTCAAATCGCAAATTCCTCACAAGTGCAACATCTCCATTCACTAACTCCAATGTAAACTAATAAACATTTCAGATATCGATTGGTTATGATATTTGACACCAGGCACAAGATACAAAGTTTGTAAATTTGCAAAATAAAAATCAAACATGGAGTTTTCGTACGGTTTTCCCCTGGTATCTTGAATCATTGAAAATGTTGTATTGGATCTTGGGCCCTGAACTACAGAACTATCTGTTGATTTTTAACTTTTCCCATATCTTTTTGACATGTTTTACGTGAAATTCTGAGAAGGATATGTATCTTGTAATGCTGTCATTCTTACCCAGCCTAGTGGTTTTGTACAGCACAAAATCATGAAAATCTAGAGAAGCCCCCCCCCCCCCTTACTCAAGAGAGATTAAGAATTTGCGTGACTGAGCTGTAAGTTGTCTCAAGGTCTTACCATTTCATTAAAAACATTAGTTCACCGGATGAATCAGTGGCACCAATTATTTTTTCAGGCTCCAAATTTCGATCAAAACCTCGTGGTTTATTGTCCTCCTGAAAAATAAGATAAAATGAGAGAATGTTTGTTTGTCATCAATGATGCAAAATGGTAGCTACATACATTTAAACTGGACGATTACAGGTTCAAGAGCATAACAAAAATACTATACATAAGGGTGGATTTCAACCAACAGGAGAAAATGGCTCTGGGATAAAGTTGAAAAGTGGTTGGGCCATATCAAGCTAAAGACTACTTTTTTATTATCTTAAAACTCCATATTATAGGACATAATATTGTGCATCGCAATATCTCCGCCATTATGGATAGAAATGAGACTTAAAAGTAAAAAAACTACTATTATTGTCATTCTGGTGACGCTTCTTGTTTAGACATTGCAATCATTAGTTCAGCTGAGTTGAAATCTTCCTTTGTACTGATTGAAAGCAGTAGGCTGTAGCCACTGAAAAAACCAAAAAAATTAGAACTCTGCTCTATAAAACAAAAATTAAAAGAGTCAGGAAGCCGAATTCAAATTGCAAGAGTGACTTACATTATTTTTCTGTATGTGCCATGACATCAGATGCATGCTATTCTGAAACTAATATTTGATAGAAGAAGTATGTACAGAGGTGGTTTAAAGTTTAAGAATAGGACCAGACTGACATTTTCACTGTTAAGCATGTTGAAAAAAAGGTTTAGAGTCATTGAAATCTCGTGGGCAATTTTTTCGTGGTTGGTGTGACCTACCTCTACCCAAAAAACCGAACATCGAAAGAAAACATCATGATTAAAAGTTTAGAACGGCCAGTTATACGTCTTTCCCATTTTTTTTCCATTAACTGAAATTCACCCACATACAGGAAGGTTTCTAACTGGACAATAAAAGAAAAGCAGCATGGTCCCCGTTTGGGAATTGACGTTAACGTACCACCTTACCACAAACTCCTGCCAAAAAAATATGCAGGTACAGAAGCCTTATTCCTGAAATGAGGAGGGCGAGGGAAGCATACAGATTGTAACAGACGCTTTGATGTTTAAGAACTTGAAGGGCCATTCAAAATCAGGACAAAATGGAAACTTGTTGAACCTGACCCCTCTGATTTAGATGACACAACTTGCACTGATTCTCTTTATGGAACTTGGCGTAATTTCATATGTTTTACGCCCACCAGTTCAATTTTTAGGGAGGTATGAATTTTTTTAAAATTGTCAGATCTTATGAGGATTCGCACCTTTAGAGGCCTATATCCCTGCCAAAATGTGTCTGAAATCACTTGTTCCAGTATCGTTTGAACGCATTAGTACTGGTCGAATCAGTGGTCCTACCTCCTAGGACCCACAGGGCTTTGCCGAGTAGGGAGGAGTATAATAAAACTTTTGGGTAAACGTCACTGCTTAATGCACCACTTTGGACAGTAGCGAAAGTACCATGAATCCTTAGGTTTTGGGCATGTGTGTGTGAGGAGACGAACCAAATTTCCATGCAAAACCGTCGTTTGGTATGGAAAATTGGCAACAACGGGATGAGCTATGACTCGAGGCGAGAAGTGCTGACCAGCCGAGCTCCGGCAGGATGGTCGTAATAATTGTCATCTCTGAGTCCATCTTGGGACGTTCTTGGAGCATCTTATTTTACCAAACGAGCTCCAGCTCGACGTCGTCATATTTGCTCTCCTGGTTGAAGGGCTATCCCTACTTCCTTTTGAGCCAATACGTTGATAAGACAACTATGTTCCATAATGCTATACTAATTTTGTTGGGAGGATCTGTAACTCGATCGACCCTACACCTACACCTACGATAGCCGTTGCTGCCTTCGGGAGAGTGATAGCGATCGTAGTTGGAGGCCCACTGCTCTAGGGTGCCGAAAAACCCCCTTGACTCGAAAGTGAGTGATTGCCGTTGCTATCTTCAGGAGAGTAAAATGTTGCAACGGCGTTCTATATTCTTACAATTATTTCTCTCTAAAGTGTTGTATTACATGCAAACCGACAATAATTTATTTTTCATGACTGTAAAACAACTCTGATATAATATTGGGAACTCAAAAATAAAAAAATGCAGCACTGTGATGATCAGGTTTTCTTGTAATGGAGTATAAAACTTCTTCAGGGTTTTACCGTTTTCAAGGTATAAAAACAAAACGAACATTGAGAAAACCTTAATTTCAGGAACATTACTTGAAATCTCAATTATTCCCCAACTGCTCGACTTGGATGAACTAAAGGGGAAATCAATTGGATTAGTTCAATTCTTAGGCAATACTTACTTCAGGTTGAGATTTTTTGGGTTTGGGTGCCAGAGATTTCTTTTCTGCATCTTTATCGCTGGAGGTGGATTTTCGTTTCTTGGATACCTCGTCTTTTTTAGTGCTTTCACGTTTCTTTCGTTGCTCTTCAAATTGACTTATTAAATCTGGGCAGTCCAAGTTCTCCTCGGGCTCCCAGGTGTTGTCGTCACTGAGGAAAAGGAGAGAGAAATGGGCATGTAAAGAAATTGATGGGTGAATTTTATCCAAGAGACAGAATATCCTACTTTCATGACTTGTGCCAATATTATGTTCGCATGTCAGCCCAGATAGCACACCACAAGAAGAGGTGTGCAGGAAATGCCCGACCTTGAGGCAGATTTGAGGCGTAAGGCTGATTATGCCATGTGAGGTAAGATCACAACCTCAAAAAAGATGTAAAAAAGACTGCATGAACTTACAGATGAAAGTCCCTAATAACAGTATCATCTGCCATCTCAATGCATTCTCTGTTCCACTAATAAAAAAGCGTCATACAGAGATACTAAGTCTGTTCCAAAAGGACTGCCCTTTTTTTTCCTTTGAGGCGAATGAAAGTAGTTGCCCAAATTCGGTTTGTGCGGAGCTACGGTCCTAGGAATTACCTATGAAACAAGACCAAATCGAGTTTTGTAGTTTAAAATTTGACTGAGCTACAGAATTTTTAAAATGATGTTTAAAGTTGACCCCTCTGGGATTTTAAGCATTTTTTACTGGAGACGAACAAACTTCACGAATGAAACTGTTTTATCAAAAAGAATAAAGTTTACAGACTCTTACTGTAGTTGATAAAAATGACTTTTCTTCATCAGAGGACTCAGTTTCCTTTACCTTTTCAAAGTATCTTTCTTCACTTTTTACGCAACAACCCATGCATTCTTTTGTTTATACTAGAGATTTTTTTTTAAAATCTTCTTTCACAAGGGAGTCCAAGAAGGTATCAACAGCTCTTTTGCTTTTGTCAATAGCATAAAACCGCTTCCCTTACTAAGCTTCTCTAGTTAAGGACACAACGTAAGGTCGCAGGGCGTGAGGTCCGGTTGGGGGGAAGGGGGGAGGGTGTGGGGAAGGCAGAAGATCTCATGTTGATCCTTGAATTCTGGAGTGTAATGGGCCGTATGGGGACGAGCGTTCTTGCGATAAAGAATCCGAGATCTCTTATGTTTGGCAGCTTTTTGGCAATATTCACCCGTAGTTTCTGGAAAACTGGGCAGTAGTATTTTATAAACTTTATTAAGAATCTGTGAACTTCTTTATCAGAAAACTGTTTCATTCCTTAAGTTTGTTTTCCTCTCGTACTAAAATTCTGAAAATCCCGGAAGGGTCAACCTGACACATTATCAAAATGCTCCAGCTCAGTCAATAGGTTACGAAGCTCAATTTGGTCTTGTTTTCTAGGTAATTCCTAGAGCTATAGCCCCACGAAAATCGAATTTTAATATCTGTTACTTATCGCCCTGTAGAAAAGAGGGGTAGTACTTTCGAGACAGCCTTTGTATAATGAGACACATCAATGGTCATTTTTAGTAAAGGTAAGTTTTTTCAACTTCATTCATAATACCTAGCATTTGCGATTACCTTCATGCATGCCCATTTCACCGATACAGAATGCAGGCAATGCTTCTGGACTTTCAGTCAGGTTTACAGTGTAATAACTCAATTTACCTCGCCCATTCTAATCCGCCTTTTACTCCCTAATAAAGTGGCCACATCGTCCAATTTTTCGTAACAATCTCCCTGCGCGGTGTATCTTTTTTCTACCTTTAAAATGTTACTGATTCTTTGAAATTTTCTGAAATAGCACACTTTTTGAAGTGCTTTATGAGAAAAATAAGAAAATTTACCTTGCCACTTTTAAGATGCCCCCTCTCCCCTTCAAAGTGGCCACATCGTGCAATGTTATCGATTGTTTGTACCACTCTCTCCGCGCACTTTGCCTGAACGAGTTTAAATTTTTTGACGAGTCAAAAGCATGAACTCTTTAGACTCTAGAAGTAGAGTGTCTACAGAGTCATTTAAGTTAAAAAGAAAACAATTCTGTTCAGCTGCTGGAAAACTAAGTCAATTTAAATGTTTTTCAGAGCTAAAATAGGCGAATTTGAAATTACCGTTATTTTATTGAAAAGAAATTCTCTTGACAGTTATAATGCCCAAGTTTCTTAGATATAGTTGTTAAAGTACTCAAACACAAATACCACCAATTTTAGGCAAAGCGTAGGAACGGTTTCCGAGTTGACGCAGAGAGGGAGGAGGGACGATGGGACCAAACTCTCATCTAATATTTGCCGTTTTCTTCTTGAATTGATGTTTGCATGTGCAAATATGTTCAGCATATTGATACTTCACTATTTTCGCATGTAACATTTCAATGAGTCGGGGAGTCGATGCATGGATTCATTAAATCGATTTTACACTGAACATTGGTGGTTTTACAGGATTGAAATTCGCTATTATCGATTCAGGTAAGAGAAAATAATCCGTGTGAGATCGGAAAAAATCAGTAGAACGAATCGACACATCCACTTTCCGAGGTATTTCAATGTTACATGCAAAAATAGGGAAGTATCGATATGCTGCATGTACAGGGTGTTTCAGACCACCCGTATCAGGCCTTTTTCTCGTTTGTTTTAGGTCGTACGAAGTCGGGGATCGCGGGGTGGAATAGGGAATCGACCCCAAGGAATCCGAATTTCGTGGTCCCGAAACCCCCCCCACCCCTCCTTGGGAGGTTAAGGGGGGTCACGATGCTAAAAGTCACGGTTCCCGACCGAACTACGGATAAGTCGCATCAGAATTTAAAAGCGCGGAAAATTTCACGTGAAATTGACCCCTAAAAATCCAAAATCGGCCCATCTAAAGCCCAAAAAAGGCCCCTAAAGAGGGGGACAGTACCCCCCTCCATAATTTCTCTTTGGTCTCAAAACTGACGTAGATTCTCCAGAAAAATACGGGTTCCCAGGTAATCGACCCCGAGAAATCCAATTTTCATGGTCCCGAAGCTCCTCTGGCCCCCCTTGGGAGATAAACGGGGGGCCCAATTTTAAAAATCGGGGCTCCTTTCCGAATCGCAAATTGATTGCATCCAAATTGAGGAGCAGAACACATTTACAACTTAAGTGACCCCCAAGAGTTCAAATTGACCCCCCTTAACGGCAGAAAGTAACCCCCTGAAGAGGAGGGCTTCGCCCCCTCCAAAATTTTCTCAAGATTCCTCTTTGGTCACAAAATTGACGTCGATTCTCCAAAAAAAGACGGTTTCCCAGGTAATCGACCCGGAGGACTCTGAATTCCATGGTCCCTGAGCTCCTCGGGGTCGACTACCTGGGAAACCGTCTTTTTCTGGAGAATCGACGTCAATCTTGCGACCAAAGAGGAATCTTGAGAAAATTTTGGAGGCGGCGAAGCCCTCCTCTTCAGGGAGTTACTTTCTGCCGTTAAGGGGGGTCAATTTGAACTCTTGGGGGTAACTTAAGATGTAAATGGGTTCTGCTCCTCAATTTGGATGCAATCAATTTGCGATTCGGAAAGGAGCCCCGATTGTTAAAATTAGGCCCCCCGTTTACTCCCCAAGGGGGACTAGAGGAGCTTCGAGACCATGAAATTTGGATTTCTCGGGGTCGATTACCTGGGAACCCGTCTTTTTCTGGAGAATCTACGTCAGTTTTGAGATCAAAGAGAAATTATGGAGGGGGGGGGGGGGCTTTTTTGGGCCTTAGATGGGCCGATATTTGATTTTTAGGGGTCAATTTCACGTGAAATTTTCCGTGCTTTTCAATTCTGATGCGACTTATCCGCAGTTCGGTCGGGAACCGTGACTTTTAGCATCGTGACCCCCCCTTAACCCCCCAAGGGGGGTGGGGGGGGGTTTCGGGACCACGAAATTCGGATTCATTGGGGTCGATTCCCTATTCAACCCCGCGGTCCCCGACTTCGTACGACCTAAAACAACCGAGAAAAAGGACTGGTACGGGTGGTCTGAAACACCCTGTATTTGAACAAGACAGAAGCCCATCGTAACATCGATTCAACAAGAAAACAACAAATGTTAGATGAGATTTTGGTCCCATTGCTCCCCCCCCCCCCCCCCCCCNCTTCCCAATAACTCGAAAACCGCTCCTACACTCATCTTGAAATGTTTCTCTGAGCTTTCGGTCATTATAAACTCCACATTTTCACCTCTTCAATTTACAAAACTGTTTCAACAACGGTAGCTAGCCACCAGTGTGATCCAGCATCTTGATGGACCCATTTGATTTGACGTCGACTATATGAGTGAAAAAATTTTATTACCAACGCAACTTTTACTGTAATTGGGTGGAATGATTGCCACCAGTTCTCTTTACTTTAGAAAATATTCTACCTTGCTCATTATACTTTCGAAATTTCAAGTAAGATATTGAGAACTAGTAAATTTTGACATAAAGCATAAATTTAGCAGAAAGGGTTCCATTTCATTTTTCAGTTTTATCAGAATCTCAAAGGGCGATAATTGCAAATAAGTACCAAACAGCTATGTTTTGAGTCCATTAAAGAGAGAAAATGAAGAAAACAACCAGATTGGCTATTTTCTCCCTTTTTAGGAACTTTCTTGTTCATCAAATAGTTTCTTCGTCTGTATTTCTCAAAAAGGGAAATGTCCAGCACACCGCCTTCATTTTGCCCATGTTAGTCGCCGCTTATCCGTTCATGCAATGGTTTATGATTTATTTGTATCTTTTTCACAACTCTATACTTTTGGCGCGAGAGAAATGCAGTTGGGAAATCAAAATATTCAAGAGTGAAAGTGAAATAAAGGCAACACTAACACACAATGTATAGACGAGTCCTAGAGGGAGCCCAAGCAGCTCATTGTTTCTCGCTGGCAATTATCGGCAATTTACAACCACCGAATCCTTTAAACTCTCAGGCAACCGTTTCGCTGGTGCGCTATGAATTTTTTTCCAGTCCAAGATATTTAGTGTATGTAAGTATTGTTGAACTCTCCGTAAATTTGGCAGAAAATTCATGTCAAATTAAGCCCGAAAAGAGTTTTATTTGCACATATTTGTAGTAGCAGATTTTATAAACTTAGTCTATTCAAAAGGAACTTAATTATCTTCGTATTCTGCGTACACGGAAGATGTTGCATTACTTTTTATTTTCATTCTTTGAGATAATTTCGAATCTGAAGGA